CTGTGAGGTCGAGCTCAGCTGCTGGTGATCAGCCGGGCTGGGAGGCTACATAAGGAGGCTTTTGACTCTCATCTCAGTTTGGATCAGGAGGTTCAGCACCATCAGCTGACCTTCATTCAGTTTGAGTGTCTGAATGTGAGAATTAAGTTTTGTTTTCTTTTTCAAACCACCCTTTTCAAAACTAGTGACTCCCACATAGGTTGTGTTGTGGGTCATAATCTTTACCTGTTTTGTCCTTTTGATAGATTCAGTGGGCAAATCTCGATCACCTTTTAGAAAACCAAGACCTGTTTTTACTCTTATCCCCATTTTGAGGGTGCAGCTTTGTTAGGATTCCTCATTTAGAGATGACTTTAGAGATCTCATGTGGTGTTCTGGGGGAGGAAACGTAACGCTGCAACATGTATGAACAGTAACTTCTCTTAATCCATCAGCAGCGAGGCCTGTCTCTACATGTGAACATCTGCAACGTCATGATGCAAAATTCAGCCTCAAACTCAGAAAAAAAACTGCCACAGAGTCGCTTGAAATGCTTCAAAAAAAGTCCACAGATAAGGAATGAAGTCCAGCGAGATGCTTTGGGGAGAAGAGCACAAGACACGTCCAAGAAAAACCACCAGAAATGTGGCGATTAAACCAACTGCATCAGGATTATTATGTAACCATCGGGGAACGTTTAGAACACTTTAGACCGTACATCCACTTTGAACATGCACAGAGTCGACGCTTTACTTCCAAACTGCAGCTGCATCTTGTCAAAGTCTGAAACAGTCTCCACCATTAGTCCCTGAATGACCCAAACTTCATGCTGGTGACAACAGTTGGGTTTACAGCCACAAACTGGAGACCAGCAGGAAGGTCAGAAGTTCAGCCAACATCTCACAAGATCCTGCACCATAAATTAGTCCCTCAGGGCTGGATTGTCAAGACAGAGTTCTACTGTCACGTCCTGAGGTGTCTGATGGAGAACAATCAACACAAATGACTGCCACGATGGCAACTGGTTGCTCCGTCACGACAACACATCTGCTCACGGTGCAGTGAAACCCTGAGAGTTTCGTGGTCAAACTTCACTAAATCCCCACCAAGTTTGGCTCCCTGTGTCTTCATCTTCCTCAAAATTTAAATCAGGTTGAAGGGCTGCAGCTTTGACACCATGGAGGCGTTTAAAACTCACAGAATGGGATTTCCAGGACATTGTGTTTGGTTAACCATTAAAAAGTTTAAATTCTGTAGCTTCATCAGCTCGGTGGGGGCATCACTGGGGCTTTTTGTAACGCCTGTACGTTACATTAACCAGAGCTGAAGAGGAGAACACAGAGAGCGAGTCAAAACAGACCAAAGTAGGAGTGTTATGAAGACTGTTATGGAAGAAAAACCCAAAGAAGCATCTGAGAAAAGTTACTGGTCTTCTTGGGGGGGAAAAAAAGCGAGACTCGGCTTTCAGAGGAAGGATTACGGCCTAAAAAAGTACACAAATGTCAAGAGCACTTATCGACAATGTAGCTACAAAAGTTCCACACTGCAGGTTTAATAAGAAAATTCTGTCTAAAGATAAAATATATTCACTCTAACTGATCTATACCACTACAGTTCACAGGAAAATGGTTTGCTATTTGTTTTTTTGGTTAAAATAAATGAATTTTCGTCACCACACAGTCGCTGTCTCCATGTTTTTGTTAGTTTTTGAACCAAGCTGAAGTATTTGAGTCTAAAACAAACTACCTCACAATCAACACAGCTGAACTAATTAATAAACTAAATGACACTGAAGCACCGTTTCCATCACTTTTTGTTCAAACCAGAACTTTACACCTAACTGTTAATTCTGAAACAGTTCTTCGAGGACCTCTCTGACTAAAACCTCCTCGGTTCTGAGTTAAATACCTGCAGACTGTGTCGGTGGTTGCGTCCGAGCTCCAGCAGACTTTCTCTGGACGCTCTGGTGGACGGCGACAGAGAAAAGGCTCTTTTCATGTTGACGGCTCCCTGACACAGCCGCCACTGGATGCAGTAGGTCTCGTACAGCTCCTCCACCTGGATGCAGACGGAGGGCAGCAGAATAAATAAATGTTTATTTCAATACCGCCTCGAAACTCAGCTCTAGTGGAGATGCTTCAATCATGAAAAGACAAAAACATCAGGGTACTGATGCTACGAACAGATGATCATGTTTACATTTTTTACATCTTTTATTAGTCCGTCTTTGCTGAGCATTTTGCGCAATGTGTTTGACATGTAGATTAAATAGAAAATTTTAAAATTGGTGTTCAAGTTATTTCACAGATGAGTACTTCAAGAACAGTTGGGAATCTGACAATCTCTCGATCAGGCCTTGAACATAAATTTATTTAGCCTCACATAGATTAAAATATTTTGGATTAAAAACTTTAAGGACAACTACATGGATTAAATCAACCAAGCATCTCTCAAACAGGTCCAGCCTTTAGCCAACCTGAGGAAATCTGCTGGAACTTTGCACATTTTATTACCTAAAAATCTAATTTTCTCATCCTTTTCTTCAAATTCTCAAATCCATACAAAAAATCTCTACGCAATTGATTAAAACAATCGTGAAATGTTTGACAAACAGTCATATACGTGCATCAACATCCACTAAACCCAAGAAAAACCCGTAAAAATCCAGATAAAAATCTAAAAAGCACTATTTCACCTTGCTGATTTGAAATTCTAATCGTCGTATGTATCGCTCCAACGCTCTGATCTCCTGCAAAAACCAAAATAGTCATGTTTTAGTGTCTAAATGACCATTAAACATTCATATTAAAGCACTCAAATCTGTTTAATTTGAACTAAAAAAGCAGATTACCTTCTCCAGATCATAAAGAAAAGCCTGGAAATAGAGAAAAGGCATCATTTATAGTATATATTATATTACATACAATCCTATTCACACACACAGAGTTTCTCTTCTCACCAGTCTGGAGTTTCTCTTGGTTTCTCTCTGCTGTGAGGACAGAAAGTCCATCTCTGCCTGGTGACCCTCCAGATATTCCCTGCAAAGAATCGCGTCAGTGTGATCTGATTATAAAAGAAGAACTACAAAATGTAGAGCAGACCAACAGCCGACAGCTTTACCTTCAAGAAAACATTACACTTTTTTACTCCATTACCTTCATTTGTCAGCTATAGTTTCTGATTACATACAATATAAAGAGAAAAGACTAAACCACTACTCTCTCCACTACTCTTTTTTTTTTTTTGAGTTATAAACTGTTAAAGCCCCTTCAAACTCAAATAAATGCATCTAATTTGCAAAATTATACAATTATTCTTTAAAAAAAGACCCAAAACTGAGCAAAAAGTGCCAAAAAAGTGCACAGATTTCCATGTTTTAGTATGCAGTAGTAGATTTATGTGGTATTTCTTCTGTTCAAGGCTCATTAATCATCTCATGACCCCTCACATTTATCTCGTGTCCCTTTTTAGGGGCGCAACCTCTAGATTGGGAACCACATTTGCCATTATTCTACTGGTTTCATCTGAGAGCTTCTTTCGCTACTTCTACTTCATCACGTGTCAAAGATACTACACATACTTGAGTCCTTTGCGCAGCGCCTGGAAAACCCTGTCGACCTGATCCGGCTGCATGGACCAGATGGCGCCGGACCCTCGGCGGGGGGACAGGTGCATCCTGGGAGATTTACCCGCACTGGAGGCTTTGGAGCGAAGAGAGTTTCGAGCAGAGGGCGGCCTGAAAACAGAGACAGTAGTCGTGTTATTTCTAAGCTGGAAAGTCGAGCGTTGCATCGTATGAATCAGCAAAAACCAAATCCTCTAGAAAGACGACGGAGAAACTTCAGTACTCAACTCAATTTCCAATCAGTTTAACTGCATGAACATGGTTCTAAAATGAGCTGTGAACAGCAGAACCTTCTCAGTTTTGGACCTATGAGCTGTGTCTGTCTGCATCGTGGCTCCACATGGAGAAGAACTGAACAGAGGAACTGAATAATTTAAGTGAGACTTCATAAAAATGGAAAAGGATCCAGGAAGACCAACTAAACATCAGTGAAGCCCAGTGTGAGCAGTAACCAGGAGGTCTAGAAGGAACCATAGTAGCTCTGATCAGGGCTGCAGTGGTCGTCCTCCTACAATGACTCCACACACAGTGAAATACTTTCATGATCCAGCTGTTAAAACAGACAAAGGCAGCTGCTTCAGACTTGGTCCAGGAGTTATCAATGGAAACCAGAGTTAGTGTGAAGCTCAGACACTTCAGAACATCAACCTCTGTGGACGGTATTCAGAAAAACATCTTTGGTCGCTATTCGGTACAACTAAGCAATGATTAAACACTGACTAAAAAAACATGAAAACAAGCCTGATGAATGTTGGGAGATAAGATCAAGATAAACTTGTTGGGCTCAGACGGAGTCCAGATGTTTGGTGTGAACCTGACCAGGAGGTGGGAGGGATGATAGGAGGCTGCACGAGAGCAAAAGGTGTTGAGGAGATGATATTTATAGATGCACCAGCTGTGGATGAACCAGAATACTGTCTGACTAGATGACTATCAGTCTGCAGAAGCTTGAAGAAGAGGAACATTCCAGCAGGAGAACCATCCAAAGAACAAAAATTGCACGACAGTAAAGAGATTTCAATCAGTTTCGAGTTTGTTTTTTATCCCCTTGGTTTCTTAACTGTCATGTAAATAAGATCTTAGTTACTATTATCATGGAGGAGGATTAAAAAAACAACAAAAACAGGCAGATTTCTCCTGGAAAATGAAGCTTTCTTTGCTGCGTGTATGAACTTATGCAAAAGAAGTCTCTAGATAAGAAGCAGAAAAGAAACTAATTGGAATAAAACTTGGATTTTACGATAAAAACTCTGCGTGCCCGATTGTCTAAAGACATTAAACACATAAAAATAAAATAAAATACACATATACCCCACTGATATCTTTAATTTCGAGCTTTGCTGATACTGATGATAAACTGACTTCTTCCATAAAAGAGAAAATGAACTTCTCGCTCATCTTCTTTTTGACTTCTTTGCCAAATTTGGGCTTATAATGTCCAGTTTTATAACTTCATTTCAAGCTTTCTGTTAATATATCACATTAAATGCAAAGACCCTGAGTGTGATTAAACATCAAAGAATCATAACGACAGCAGACAGGAAGTGCTCAGGAATGACCAGAGAATGTTTGTGTGCATCTAAGTTTAAAATGGAAAAATGTCTGGATGTTTGTGTACAGTGTAAACATCCACACACACTCAGGAAGTGGATTCCAGCTGGCTGTCCTTTTTTTTTTTTGACATTTTGTTCCCTCTCGCTCGCTCTCGTGGGACCTGACGGCGACTAACCGGGGTCGCTCATCCTTCATTCACAAATAACGTCTTCCCCTCTGTGGTGCGTTCACTGTCTGCGAGGAGCGGTCTGAGCGTGACGAGATTTCCCTCAACACAACACGAGACAGTTTTAATTTTCTCTTATTTATTGTTTCGGCCGAATGGGGAGAAGGAAAAACAAAAAAAAACGGAGGGAGGATTTATTACAGCCGACATGCGGCCAGAATCTGGTCGGAGTTTCTCGTTGTAATTTCCCTGCGCTTTATTTTCTGCCTCCTGTCATTCACCGCCACACTTACAGCTCCTCTGGGAAATAATTCCTCAGACATTTGTCACCTAACAAGCTTCTCTCGTGTTGGTTTAGACAGCAAGTAGTTTGGGCTTTGAAATGGTTTCGACTCGGGTGAATTAAAATACTCGTTGCGTGAAATGTGAAAAATGCCGTCGGGGGGGTGAAGTGGATGCAGACAAAAGCTGCGACTGTCAAAACAATGTGAGGAACTTTCAGGGACACGAACGAGCCGCGGGACTCGTCAACCGATGACAAAAAACTCAGAGCAGACGCTATATTTCGAAACTACGCCCATTTAAAATGCATGTTAGACGCTGCATTTGTGTAACTATGAGAAGTTTAGGTGTATTTAAAAAGTGAAGGAGAGTGAGGTAAGTGGGAGATACATGGTTGAGTTGGAACGCTCACGTCCGTATGATAAATATGTCGCTGGAATCTGCAGCCGGTTACCTCAACTTCGCAGAAAGACTGGAAACAGCTGCTCTGACTTACTCTAAAGGCCGAGCAAACCCATCCATAACCCTGAGTCTTTATCATGCTGCAATAATGGAGGAAAGAGGCTCTGGTTTGTCTGCACAGCTTTAAAACAACCACAGTCGTCTTGGGTGGTGCTCAGCCCAGGATGCAGCAATGGTGCCCCAGCAAAACAGGCATGGGGGAATTGTTTAGGTGGAATATTTGCACACAGGGAGATGAGCACTGGTGTGAAAATGGCTAATTCACTGAATGAATAAAGCAAGTCTGACCTTCTTGCACCATCCATCTGAGTGGCTTTGCTTTGAGATGGTGGGGGCACATGGTGGAGAGCTGCAGGTTAGCCGCTTAGCTTCTATATTAGAGTATATGCTCTTCAGTACAATCGTTGCAATACTAACACTCCTATCAGTATTTCTATTTATCAAAACATCCGTGCAATACCACTGATGTGCAATAATGTCTATTTTTAGTACGAGTACTTATTTTTGTGCCACATTCCTTAAATGTTTGCGCCATCATGACTTGAGATTAGTAAAGGCTTATTTTATCTTCTTCAAAACCACGAGTAGGCGGCTGTTCAGAGGTTGTTGTTGGAGGGATTTTAAACTGGTGACGAGCAGATGGTGCAGCCTGATACCTGAAGTCTGCATCCAGTTGGTCAAAGTTTTCTAAAGGTATGAGCGGCCCTATAGCTCACCTGGTTGAGCGGGCGACCCATGAACAGGGGCTGTAGTTCCCTGGTGTGGCGTTCGTGAGTTTGACTCCCGCTCACGACAGTTTGCTGCAAGGTTTCTCCCCATTCTTCTTCCCCCTTTCCTGTTTCACTCTCACTGTACTGACTAATAAAGGCAAAAACGCCAGAAAAATAATCTTTAAAAAAAAAAAAACAACAAGCTTTTCTAAAGGTAACAAACTCAAACATCGTCAAAGCAGCTGGCGTCACAGGGATGTGTACAACATTTCCTTTGGTATCTGCTCCAGCTGCATCAATATTCAATGACAATTAATGCATCAGAGTTTCTCCGGTTTTACAGAACAGCACTGTGAGGTTGGAGAGGTTGTGGTGGATAAACATGATGTAAATTTGAAGCTGCGTTAACCCTTGCAGATCCCCGGATGGACGTCCACAAGCAGCCCAAAAGTCGTGACGAGCTTCCGTACGTGCTCCAGGAAAACAACTGTTACGACTGTGGTCATATTAGTATGTCGGTTTTCCTTCGATCTGTGTGTGTGTGTGTGTGTGTGTGCCTATTTAATATGTAGAACAGGCTGCGCCGTGCCGTGGACTGGATTGGCCGACCTACAGAAGTCCTGGTATTTAATGCAGAAGGAGGACGTCAGATGGGCGTTCCATTCTTCACTTCGTCCCAACCGGCACACAAAGTTCAGCGTTATGTTGTAAAGTAAAGTCTTGGATGAATGGAGCCAGCTGCTACCTTTTTGTTTAACCTGTTTTCTCTTGTTTAAGTTAGAGAGGGAGGCTAGATTTTGTATTTAATTTTGCTCCTTTTTATTTTGGTAGGCAAGTTGGGACTCCCATCGTATAGTGTGGTTTTGGCAGAGCTCACTCTCAGTTTAATTTATATGCTACCAATGATTTTTTGTGTTAACCACAACTTTTGTTACACCATCGCATTTATTGCAAATAAATAATTAATTTCCCTGTGAAATGGCTTTCGTGTGGCTGCTTGAGACTGGTGAAGGATGGCATTTCATGTTGCGTTCAGGTACCCCTGGGCTCGGCGTAACAAACTGTTACTCAAAACAAACGCTTGTGTAGAGGAGAGACTGTCCGAGGAGCTTCTCCGTCATCCACAGCTTCATAACTCATCATAACAGAGTCAGAGGGAGCTTGATTGGTTTCAATCAGTGGATCCCAAACACAGTGGGAAGTTCTAACTCCTCCAGAAGTCCTGTGCTCAAACACACCACAGGAATAACCACATTAATACAGTATTACAGGGTGATCTGTTACCAGCTGCTTTATTGAAGCTAAAGTGCAAACAGGCAGCTTTCTAGAAACATCCACTGGAGCCTTTTGTGTTTTTCTGTCTGACATGAGGAGCAATGTGACCACTGTACATGTATTTATGTTTACATCTGATGTTCAGAGAACTTTATGGGTCTATTGAACAATGATGCTAAACGGTGCCCAGTACATTTTAATGTACATTTTCTTTTTTTTGGCATGAAAATTAAGCTTATTTCCCAAAATATAAATGACATGTTGTTACAACTTGGGACAAGGAATACAAATCATTTCCATGGTGCAGTAGGCAGAATGTTTTTCATCCAGATGACAGTACAGAGTGTTGTTATTGATGGTTATTGATCCTTTAGTGAAACCAGCTGTTACATGAATGTCTTGGAAGGAATCTGGATTTAAATACTTGTCTGATACGCTACATGGGGGAAAAAAAATGTGCAAACGTTGGAAAAGATTTTCCTCGTGCAGAATGAAACATAAATAGTGAGTCACTGTACATGTGGGCTGCTCTGCTGGTGCACGTCAGCAATGTAGGGTTTGATTAGACACGTATTTAAACAGACTGTCAGCTGCTCAGCTCACATCAGACAGTAATATAATTCTACATATGCAAATGTCAGCTCGTACACAGACTGGATCATATCATTAATTAGATCCAGTCAGACCTAATTCTTCATTAAAGCCACCAGGTTTTAGCAATTTAAGGTAAAAGATTTGTCTAAGTTCACATTGGAGTAAAATTTTGGTCCACATTGCATCATGTCAGTGCCTCTGAATGCCAAATCCAAAATAGAACGAACGCCGTCTGCAAAATGTCCTGCAGCAGCTGAATCAGAATCAGCATATCAGATCGCAATTTCACGTCCGTCTAAGCCGTCTCCTTCATCTTCCATACATACATATGTTACATTGGGGAGCAGCAAGAATGTAAACAGCATCACTGGAGCTGCATGTTGCTCATTTTTTGGATTTTGTGTTCATTTCTTGCCACAACGCTGGTAAAAGTGTGTCCTGAGCTGCTGAATGCTGGTTGAACAAGGCCATTAAAGAGCATGTAAACGTCTCCTCTGGCAGTCTTTTGTCCTTAACACCACTAAATAAATACATTCTGTCGGCTCATGGTATGCGGCTGCAGCACAAGTTTGTGGACTCGTCTTTTGTTTCCCCGCCAGCCGTCAATCAAACGCCGTCGGACACGCCCCTCCAGACAGCTGAGAGATAAAGGAGCATTTCTGACATTTCCCCGAAGACCTTCTCCTTCCCTTCTAATAATTAAAAACAAACTGTGATAATTCCAACTGCATTAAGGGGCGACTAAATGGGATCGCTTTTAAGCCGTGCGGTTAGCCTTGATTTGTTTAGTCATCTCCTAAAGCCGCCACACCCTGCTCGTATAATCATCTCAGTCAAGCTAAGGCAGAGGATTTGGATTGACTGTGAAGTAGATGATGACGGAAAACGATCAAGTTGTTTTCTTGAAGGTTTAAAGGTTCTTTCTGCCGTCACTCACCGTCGCCGACCCGTCAGAGAGCTGAACCCGGTGAATGATCGGCTCCTGTGGAGCAAACTTCCATCTGAGGGGGAGTCAAATCGCAGCTTCACCGACATCCTGCAGACGCAAAGAGACACATTTCAGTCCAAAAACATTCCCATCCCCTATTAAATCCAAATTATCCTCATTCAGACAAACTCTCCACACCAGCTCAGAAATGGCTCGACATTTGAAGAACTGTGTCGATGGAGAGACGAGCTGCCAGACTTTCATGAGAAAATTCGACCACACCAATTTCAAACCAATAAAATGATGATACTCCCAACGTCTTTGTACTCAAACCAGCGTTTTCAGCAGGAAACCAGTTTCACATGACTGCCTCAAGATGTCCAGAGAGGATTTTTTTTTTTCAGCAAAATCTTTGCCAGACCTCTGAGATCCAGTCGTGTCATGAGAAGGCATCTGCTGTCCCTGTAGGTACTAGTGGCTATGAAAGCCGAGGATGTAAAACTGGGACAAACACTCTCCACCTGAGCTGTTTTTATCACTGGTTACTGGCTCTGTTGTCTGTTTTCACCTTGTCGTCTGTTTACACAGGCGCTCACGCAAACGCGTAAATCAGCCGGACCACCCTTACTCCGAGACGGTCCAAAACAGGAAACATCTCTGGGACGCATTAACGGAGAAACATCTTGACACCGAGCCACAAATATGCGCACAAACTGGAATGCAGATGGAGGCCAGTTATGTTTACTACGTAACTTTACTGCATGCGATGGCAGAGCACCAGAGTTTTAGCCACGTTAGCATCCCGGCTCTAAGGGTCGCATTGCCGGTCTGTTGGCTGGTGCGCGACTTCAAATCAGACTGCAGCATTTCAGAGAGTATCGGAGGAGCTGCGTGAATTTTGATGCCCAGACGATGGACTACTTTAGTGCCACCTGTTGCATCACTACCAGGTTTCACTTTGGACCAGAGTTTGCAAAAAGTCATGGTGACCTCATGAGGATCCCCTTTTTGTACCCGGTAAAACATCTCAGTAGCTTTAAGACGGATGACACCAGGTACAGACATTCATGTTTCACCTTCAACAACACTGTGGAAATCCTCTGACTCTCTAATCAGATGCCATCATAATTTCTAACAGAAATACAACATAAGACATGCGCCTCCTCTCTTCATCATAAGGGACTCGACTCATATCATCTAGTAAGACAACGATATCTGCAGGAAGGCTTCACAGAATGCAAAAGTATGGTTTCCAACTCCCCCTACAACAAAAAAAAAACTGCATCACCATTTAATTAAAACCCCACATAAATAATAAATTCACTTTACGTCTGAAAATTGTTTAACCTGAACATTCCAGTGAACCTCTCCTTCCATTTCTAAACTTGCATTTCTGTTATTTCAGGTCAGCTTCGGGTTCCTCAAACGCTCAGCATCCATCTGACTCGCCGATATTCCAACAGGAATCTATTTTTTTAAAAAAGTGCTGACTCCCCTTGAAGGTTTTCTCCTTGTCTTGCTTTTCGACGATGAATCATCTTTGTTGACAAGAATTTACAAAAAAAAAGAAAGACTTGCATGTCTGAGTGAAAACAGTTTATGACCTAGTAATGTGGGTTCATTAAAAATGTAAAATAAATGATTGTTTAAGTATTCCCCCCCTTAAAAGTGACTTGTCTAATTCAACACAGATGCAGCCGATTGATGCAAGACGCGGCACATTTAGTCAAATAAAGATCTTCTGAGTTTAGTGAATGTGCTCTAGTGGTCATGGTATGGTTGTGGTTCATGCAACAACTGTTCTTCACCAGTTAAAGCTTTATTGGAGAGCAGCAAAGAGAAAGACACTCTTGAAAAAAGCTCAAGGCATGTGGAAGACTCTGAAGTCAACAGGAAGAAGATTCTTTGGTCGGAGGCCAAAATTTAGCTTATGGACATCAAGACGAGATGCTCCAGAGATGTTTGTCAGACACAAAAACATGGCACATCATCACCACAGCCACACCATCCCCGCTGTAAAGCACAGTGGTGGCAGCATCATGACGTGAAGCACGGTGGTGGCAGCATCATGACGTGAAGCACGGTGGTGGCAGCATCATGACGTGAAGCACGGTGGTGGCAGCATCATGAGGTGAAGCACGGTGGTGGCAGCATCATGAGGTGAATCACGGTGGTGGCAGCATCATGATGCGAAGCACGGTGGTGGCAGCATCATGATGTAGGAAAGCTTCTCAGCAGCAGGTCCTGGAAGGCTTGTAAAGGTAGAGGATAAATGAATGCAGCAAAGTGTCGAGAAGTCCTGGAGGACAACCTGATGCAGTCTGCAGGAGAACTGAGACTTGGAGAAGACTTGTTTGATGATCTGACAATGATCTGAATCAAACAGCCAAAGAAATGGTTTAAAGACGACGAGGTGAATGTTCTGGAGGCCCAGACCTCGATTCAACTGAGAATTTGTGACTAGACCTAAAAATGTCTGGTCACTCATGATGTTTGTCCAAAAAAATCAAACTAAATCGACCATGATTCGATGTTGAAAAGCAATAAAAGAGGAAAACTTTTTTTCTTTGTACAGAAACAGAACAACAATAGGACGACACAAACAGCCCTGAAAGCCCAAATGAGTCCTGATGGAGCCTAATTATAAAGGAGGAAGCTCTGGGCGACTACTAGTGTTGGTGGAGTGATGATTATAGCTGCGGCTGGCAGCATCTTCAGCTGGTTCTGCAGGAAATAGCTTCAGACAAATGAAGAAACAAGAAAGTGGCCGCAAAGGCATTTCCCTCATGACAGCCGAGAGACAAACACAGCAAGACATTAGAAGTTAAAAGGTCAGTCAGTGTGAATAAATCCTGCTTACACAGGTACTGCAGTTCCACAGAGAAGTCCTACGTGTAAGGAAGATTTTTTTTTTTTTTATGCACACTCACACATAGTCTGGATGCCATCTGTTCTTACATGTGGTTTCTGTGAACGCCGAGCTGGGTGGAAGCTAAAACAACAACACCACTGTTCTGTTTGTCATCTGCTTCTAAACGAGCTCAGAGCGAGTCGCCGTTCAAGCCTTTGTGAGTCTGATTTCTGTTTAATACGGGGGAAAAAAAACAAAGCATCATCATCGCTCAGCATCTTGTTAAAGCTCAGCGATGTGCAGCTGATCATCATCACAGAAACCTGCTGCTGGGGGGTTTCCAGCTACTCATCAGGGGAACTTTATGTAGAACTAATTTAATACAGAAATACTTTATTGTGCAAAGGTGGCGTAAAATGCATCTTGAATTGCAAAATAAAGTTTAGTTTAAATGTTTCTTTTCTTTCAATCCTATAAGAGGCGATAATATGATATGTACTGGACAGAATTTGAGGACTTATGCAGTTTTTTTGTGTTAAGTCTGGATGAAGCAGTAATTTTTTGGCATCATTTGGCAAAAATATCCCTTTAACAGCATTTTGTGACTCAGATAGTCTGAGAATAATCAGATTCCTGCACCTTTGCCTTTTAGTTTTTTGAAAATTGAGCCCATGATGGAAGATTTTTACCAATTGTGGATTTTATTTTATTTTTTTTTAGTTGTTTTTATTTGTCTAACCCTAACCCTAGTTCTCATTGGCTGTTCTGAAACTGCATGTTGACATCCCTTTAGATGGTGAAAAGCCTGATTCAGTGGAAGGAAAAGGAGCTGCTCCACTGCCCAAAAACAGTCTAACAAACAAATAAAGTATGCATTCATACTGGTAAAAATGTACTCGTAAAATTTGAATTATGTCCAGTGAGCTGCCAGCTTAAATATTCTGTATATCTAAAAGTGTTGCAGTGGTTTAAGTTGTGTCGCTAAATTTACCTGCAAGACAGGTGCAAATGTTGATAAAAGCTTCTGCTAAGTAGGGCTGCACGAAATCGGAAATATCTGATATTTAGCTTTTATTGTTTTTTGGGGGGGGATTGTGCTGCACTCCTGCTACGAATCTGCCCCAAAATTAGACTTAAACTAAGGTAAGGCCAAGTATACATAAAGTTTTACCCATAACATTTCACATTTTATTGAACATCTTCTTAGCAACAGATGCTGCAGTTTCCAGATGTTCCCTGAACGCCTCGCAGTCACTGTGCACAGAGAAGCTTCTAGTCTCCATCAGTGACTGCAGCTTGAGCAGCCAAACAAGGAGTTTTAATGTCAGATTTACCTGAAACCAGGTGAGTTTATCTACATGAGCTGCTTTTGTGAGCATTTTGAACAGCGGACAGAGTTTAGGAGAGAATTATTTATTCTCAGATCTCTGCCTGCCAAAGGTTAAAATGTTATGCGGTTGCAAAGAAGAGCTGCTCATGGAAATCTAAACAAACTTCATGAATGTGCAGGTATTCATGACTCTCTCGGCCTTTTTCATCAGTTTGTGTTTGTATTTTCTGCAGGTCTTGGTGCTAAAAGTAGACCTGTGAACTCTGGTTTAACAGCACCTCAGCAGACAAACTAAATCAAGGTCAGTCACTCGGTCTGGAGCCCCGGTGGCCGGCGTTTGAACAGAAGCGTGGCAGAACCGGAGCGCGCTGCCAGTGGAAGCAGCTCAAAGTAACCCAGTTTGGAGTCCTGACCCAGAATGTGAAGCAGCACACGCCGGCCCCGCTGCCAAAACCAGCAGAGTCACCAGGCAACCGCACAAAACAGCCGGCGATGGAGAAACCAGGTCCGATCATTAGCAACCAGAGTCGGCCAAGTGAGCACTCCGAGTGTGTCGCGCTGCACACTCACAACAACACACTCAGTTTTTCCCTGTGGAGGAAATCAAGTGGATTTTCTTTCACTGGTATGATCAGGTTTTTTTCAGTTATTTCCGGCTCGTTAATTCTCAGTCTTCCCTCGTGGAGAACCTGCAGCTCATGACGACGACGTACAACCGCTTAAAGAGAAACACGACTCACTTTAAAAGCTGTTCAAGATGATTAAAGTCAGACGTGAAGCATCCACACCCTCATTTTATCACTACGAGGACACGACGGCACCAAATGTGTCCAAACATCGTTTATATCCTGAAATTAATTCAATAAAATTCAAGTGAGTCGTCATTTTATCAGACAATGATGATTAAACGGAATTATATCATGTTAT